CTCCTTTTTTTCTTTATTCGCATCCTCTTCTTTAGACCTCCACTTTTTTTGTTGCTCTTCATAATGTTTTAGCTCATAACCGTTCATATCCTACTCAGTAGGAATGGGAATTTGGAAAGTGGTTTTTCTGGGTAAAAGGTTGAGCGACAGAAGGACTCGGGGCGTTTTTAGTAGTTTGGTCGTTTTGGGGGTATATGTAGGGAATAGTATGTTTATTTTCGTAATGGACGGATGTTTGAGGATGGAGTGCGTTTTGGTTTTGTTGAGGTGGAGCGATTTGGTGATAAACATTTTGAGGGGAAGGTGGTATTTCAAAATTGGGGTTTTGAGGCGGTGGTGGAGTCTGGTAGGAGGTTTGGGCATACTGAGGATTTTGTGTCGTTAAATCATTGACTGAGGGATTCTGAGCAAGAGTATACGGTGTGTTTTGAGCTTGTTCAATGATTGAAGAGGGAAATTATAGCGGATGCCTCCTATCAGTCAAAGCATTGACAGTAAAACCCGGTGGAGGCAGATCTGGTCTCCTTTGCATTTCCACCCTCGACTCGGTAATTTGCTGCATTAGCTGCGTAATCAGTTCATTTGATCCTCTATGGTGGGTTGAGCCACCACAACGTCAGTAAGACTATTTCTTCGTTGTTGCCCCCTATTACTGTTTTTCCCTTATCTTCACTTTGGCCGGGAAAGGAATCTACAAGCCCTTTAGATCTAGTGAAGTAGGGATGATCAACAAGTTTAATCGACATAGACTAGTTTGTAAGTACCTTTTAGAGGGAAACAACTCAAAGGCAAATTCGTTAGTTTAAGTTCAGAATACATAACACAAAATACCACATACATAGAATGTAAACACATATAGAATGCAAGAGTTTGCTCGTTTTACTTTAGGATAGTCTTAGAAAGGTTAAATCACATTAAGCTAAGGTATTCTTGTTGCATCTCTTTGACGTCCATTAATCTGCAACTCATATTCCATTGTAGAGTAAAAAATTGGGGGAATGAAAATTTTGAAAGATAGGGACCGGGCCTTAAAAAGCTACCTACGTATCTCACAACGAAAATTCAAGCCCTACATAGTTTGAATACAAAAAAATACTTGTTTTCATTCATGTTAGATGATTACAGGGGAACGAAAAACAAACAAAAGCTTCAAAAGATAAAGGTAGTTCCATCTGAACCCTTCTTCTCCTCAACGTCACATCATCCACGGAAAATCAACTCGACATGAATCTTTCCTATGCTGATGACGTATTCCATGTCGTGGCCGAGTGCAAGAGATTTTTTTAATGCTATGATACGTGGACCTGTGATAGGGGCAACATTTCCGAACTTGGATTCCAAGGGAATATAACACTCCAACATCCTTGTAAAGAGGGGTAAAGACCCCGCTTCAAACCAACACTGAGTAGGCCTCCACCATTGTTTTCTTGAAAGCCTTGAAGGAGCAACGATAGAACTTGGTTGTCTTAGTGACCACTATGTTGAGCCTCGATTCATCACAGGCAATGACGATGTCGTCACCTAAAAAGTTTGCAATACTATCCATATTGAGCAAACGATGGACCACATTCCTAAACTATATGCGCTCCTCTATTGTGTGCCCTTTTTCTTTTAGGATGACACTCACAGGTCTTGCAAATGTCCCCTGGTCCCACCTGGGAAGATGCTTTTTCGACGGACCTCAACATACGCCTTGACTGATAGTGCTCGAAAATGAGGGCGCATGAAATAGATTTCATCCATATTTGGTATTTTTGTGGATATGCTTCGAGAGTGACTTTTTGGTAACCTTCTCCCAGAAGTCCTTAGAGAGAAGGTTTGCGGGCAATTGATTCCTTGTAACTTTCTTCAATGTTCTCCAAGTCAGTGGCTTGAGGGGAAAAAATATGTGATATAGGTGCTTTCCACGCTGCCTCCATATGTCGATCATCTCCTCTTCGGTTGGTCCAGTCATGATATTCTTGCCTTTGTCCATAGCGGTGATTTTACCTTTCCTGAGATGGTAGAGTGATTCTTAGGTATTAGGGATTAGATTTGTTTTTGGTTGGCAAACTCAAGACTCGGAAAATTTGTTTGGACTTTGTAGTAGTGACTTGTGCATATTTTCTTGGAAGTTTTTAGAAAAGAGTGGGTTACAAATTCCCTAATTCAAAGCAACATATCACATAAACAATTAAAAACACATATATCGCGCCCTAATCATGCATGAACCCTTTGTGCAAAAGGTAGGCCTAGCGATCTGAAGGATATATTGTGTCATTTAAAACAGATTGTTGCACCCCCTAAAATAAGCTTCACAAATAATGATAGAATTTGTTATAGAGTTTTAATCGAAATGGGGATACATTTTGCGGGAAGGGGAATACATTGCAAATACAAAATAGAAAACAATCCCACACAGGGGAAATAGTACGTTGAAGGTCCCCCTGCTTTTGCTATTTCTACCTCTTCAAGAATTATGTAATTTCTTGCTATTATGTACGACTCAGCAAACACAACTTTGAAGATGGTTTCATGGCCCAGAGAGTGTTGATCTTCTCAATCAGAGATGTATCACGCATCAAACATGTCATCACATCGGTTAACTCTTGTGACATCACAGCTAAGCCCTCTGACCTTCAAATTCTCTGGATTGGTATTGTTGTTCTTTTCATAGAAATTCATGTTCCCTTTGGTCCCATTCCTGCTGAAAATGATACGTTTGGATATGGAGCCTCATTTGGACGTCTTTGATTTCTCAACCCACGGGTGGTGTCGGGTTTACTATACCATGCAAATCATCCTTCAACCACTTTTGGTACTCATCAACATACCCAGCTTCATACCAATTTTCAACAATACTTCCTTTCATGTTGACCTGCCCAGACCATTCCTGTAGGATGGTTTTGGGGAAAGGTATCTTAACACACCCATTGTAATCAATGATGAAGGAGCTAGCATCACCTTGGACAGGTGTGATTTGTCTTCTACAAAATTGTCGCATCACACTAGATGGATTATATGGTCGTATTCCTCTAATGTCAGGAAGGATCGAAAAAGGAAGTTTGCCCCCCCGAGCCGCTATCTTCTCTGACATAAGTTTTGAAACATCCACTATATGTCCGTTTCCCTCTAGTCATAGAATACTTTTCCTATGCAACCCTCGTAGTTTGAATTGGGAATTTGAAGACGCATAGATAAAACTTGTAGTTGTCAAGGGTACTCGTCAGGGTCGGCTTAGACAACTTCTGTTGTTGCGTGCCATCTTTTTACACAAATGTTCAGTCATCCACCACTTAAGAAAAATATTGGACCCTTGGAAAAATGGAAATCCGTTCTTACACAAACTCAGAGATCGATATATGTCAGCCAAAATAATCAAAGCCAAAATGTAGTGTTTCTTTGCTTCTTCGTTACAAATCCCCCCGAAGATAGCGTCTACAAGAATCACAATCCGGGTATCGATATCATTTCCGTCATCCTGAGGAAATACCATCGTGCCTAAGAGGCATGCTGAGAATGCAATAGTTTGAATCTGTCTCCAAGTATTATGACTGAAATAGTTGCCCTATCCCCAGCGTTAAAAAATCTCATCAATGGTACACTTTGAGTATCTAACAAGTTCGCGTCAACTAACAGTAACATGTCCTTCAGTTTTAGACTAGTCGACCTATCTGGTAGTAATATGTGATGATCTATATGTTTTTTCCTGTTGCCACACATTTTAATGAAATCCAAATAATCTTTTATCTCCTCGATTGTTGATCTTATCTCGACATCCCCTAATCGGAAACCATCCTTTTATCATCCCAAACCGAGTAATTATCTCGATAAACATGGGTCAAACCTTCAAGTTCATTATGAAAGGTAGATGACCCAAGTGAATCGAGATTTCTCTCTTTTAACAGTTTTTGAGGTTGTTCCACCATACTTAAAGAAGATCGGGTGTCTCGGTGACCATTTTGAAACTCATGAATTGATTTGACATATAAAAAAATAAATAAATAGTTAGTTGTCACCCAACCCCAAAGCAAAATATCCATCAAACACGCAAACATCCTTCAAATATCATATAAGTATAATCGTCCAATCGAGTCATAGGCTCTTTGAACTCTGGGCAATCTTTCTAATGAGCCCAAGAATCGTTGGGTGTTGGATCATCTTAGGTCAATGCGCTACTTTTGGGATTTAGTTTCGTTCTATCTTAGTTTGACTAGGAGTGGTTTTCATTTATAGGGGAAAAGGTGACCCAAGCAGACTACTTAGGCTAGGAAACTTGACCATTGACTATCAAGTAGCCAACTACATTCGTCAGGGTGCCCCAAGAAAGATTTGGTTAATCAATGATTGTGAGCCCGCATAATCATTCTTTAAGTGATAAATAAACAATTATCGTTTGAAAAAGTATAATACGCCATGAAAATGCAACAGTTGATATAATATGATAAAGGAACAAATATACAACCATTTCACATAGCCAAATAAATTTAGTTTTATGGTTAGAATCCTCTAATTCCCCCGAGGAGTCGCTATTCTGGTATATTTGGAAAAATTTTTTAAAGTTTTTTGGACTATTTTAATTTTTGAGAATCGCCACTTTATTTTTAAGAAAAATTAAAAAAAAAACTTAGCTTTCAATAACCATTTAAACAAAAAATCAATTTGAAAACTTTAAAGGGGGTTCGAAGTTTCATATTTATATTTTATGAAAGCTTTATGACACTTAAAATATTTGCTAAATCACGATTATCCAACAACTAACTAATTTGGCTAGAAATTTTAACTTATGTTTTTGAAATAAAGATTATTTAGAATTGTTTGAAAATGAAGTACTAATTTTACTATGTAAGTGAACTTTATTTATAAATTTATTTTAAATTATTTACTTGATTTGATTAAGTCGTTAAAACAAAATGACGTCTTGCAGGGATTTTGGATTCTGTAACACTAAGGTTAAACGACAATTCGCAACAAATAAATAAGCGATAAAGTAAAGGATAGAGAGAGAGAGAGAGAGAGAGTTGGGTCAAATCCGATTTCTTTCTGTTTGGACTAGTGTTTCGACACTTTCTGTCTTGTACATGTCCTGAACTAATCAGACGATTAATAAATAATAAGTATAGAAAAAAATGACAAGGCTTAGGACCAAAGATAACGAAATATAACACTCCAAAAAAAATTTGGACTCTATGGTCCAATTTCTTACACTCTATGACTTTCAACCTTCCTTTCGGGACCTCTTCACCGGTTTTGTAGCTGGTTGACTCGGAAAGAAAGGTTTTTAAGCCTTTATGGATCTCCCAAAATGCAAGAGAAAGATTGGAGTCCATGAAAAACTTTGGACAGATTTACATGCAACCAAACAAAGGCAAAAATTAAAAGATGATAGGATTCAACATCTTAGTATGATACCCAAATTACTGAAGAATAGTAAGTTATTAACTCTCAGAGCAAATGCCAAGTTTGTCAACTTTGCAATCAAAGTGCTAAAAAAATAAATAAATAAAAACTTGCATGAAAAATAACAACATTAAATCGAAAGGAGTTACTGATGCTCTTAAACAACAACTAAACAAAGCGGGATCCACATCAAATATAATAACAACACTATTTAATACAAGCTCTATGATATTTTTCTATTGTCCATTACGAGAAAATAACTATTCAATGAACTAGCGTCTGTACCCTGAAATAAAAGTCGTAAATGGCAACTCTAAGTCACTGTAAATTTGAATAGATCAGCACATCTTACTTTGGGTGCTATCAATGACGTAATTTCAACAAAAAAAAAAATTCAAACTTAGCAGATAAACAAACAAGCCAAATTTACCGACACAATTTGCAAATATGAGCATTTTTTACATGACTTAGACAAAGGGGGAGATGTAATTTAATAAAAAATGGTCTGTCGAGCAGTAAGGTAAACATATAGTTGCAAAGAAAGTAGATAAGACGAGTTGATACACAACATGAAAGACTACCTCCCAACAGTAAATCCTTATTCGTGAGCACACCAACATAATAAAATTATTAAAATTTAAAAGGGCACTCTCGCGATTTCCAGGCGTGAATAGAAAGGGATTTTATGGACTGTGATTAACATAAACTCCTTCAGTGAACAGGATGGAATAAACACAAACGACAGCCATGTTTTCTAGAGAAAAAAAAAACTAAGTTCAATCGTAAACCACATCTAAACCACAAACGTGATAGAAAAAGTCAGAGAGGGAAAAATCTATCACAACAAAGTTAGACTCCGCCAATCTGAGCAAGCTTGTTGATCTGGACTCGAAATTAAAAAAAATATAAAAAATAAAATAAAACTGATCCTTTGACACTTTTAAAACATGAGGAAAACCAAGAATATTATATCAATGGAATATAAACAAGACAGTATCAAATGGGATTAACAAATAAGTAAACCAAAATTAGAATGAGCAGAAGACCAAGAAGATAAGGAAGAAACATAAACTCAAAAATAAAAGAAATATGGCTAGCAAAAATGAAACATATATGGCTAGTTTCTAAGAGAAATAAGATAACTAGAGCAACTTAAAGTTAAAGCAAGCCATATGGACTTATCTGGGAATCAACAACAAATATTTTACAATTTAAGAATCATCAAAATAGAAACGAAGAAGTAGAGCAAAAGAAAACCAAGAGTCGTTTACCTTTTAGGGTGCAGCGAAACGGGAGTTGGATCAAGCAGAGCAACAACTTCACCAGGCCAAACGCCAAATGCGGATTGCAACCAAAGGAAATTGGGAAAAAATCCGAGAGGTTCTCTTATTCAGAGATGTATTTTCGAGTGTCACTATGAGTTCCCAATAGCTTTGTGTTTTACTTAAAAAAAGTTTCCAACCAAAAGGAAATCAATACAAGTTTTCAACCTTTTCTCACACTAATTTTCAAACCAAAAATCTCCCTGTTTTCCCTCTTCCTCTACCACAAAATCATCCTAACAAAAAGCCCACTCTTCTGTGAAGGAAAGGGAATATATATAGGAGGGATTTAGGGTTCAGAAATGGGGGAAAACTATCAAAAACTTTTAAGAGGGAAGACCCAATTCGAAATTCAAAACCCCTAAAACTTTCACCATTTAGGCTAAAAACCTTTTTCCTGAAATCTTCAAATCATTTCCGGAGAAGGAAAGGTAGAATATACGGCTGATATCGATCTCTGTATCCTTGCTGCCTGACGTGTCTCGATACTGAGGCGAGCAAGGACGAAATGAAGCTGAAAAAGACGAACCTGTAGTCTACCACAACCAAAAGAGTTATAGGAGGGCTATATGGGGCTGGAGAAAGAAACGTTAAAACATTAATTTCTGTCAAATTGACGCTTGGAGACGGATGTCGTTTGGCGCTGCTTCGCGCGTCGCCGCTTCTTCTCTGAACTCTCCTGCATGTGTCCTTGTGTGAGGCTCGTAGAATTGCTTTCATTAACGCTTCTGACCTCTATTTGTTGAATAGAAAAAAGGTTGGGTCAGAGGGTGTGGTCTGGGAGGAAATATTGTAACATTTGGGCCAAGTTATAGAGGGAAATTGGGTTGAAGTAGTAGAATAAAGCTGCGTCGATTTAGGGTAAGGGATTTTGGGCCTTAGGAAAAGGTTGCTAAAGTTAGGGGTCATTAATTTGGAATTTGGTTGGGTTGGGATTAAATAAGACGAATCAAACTAAAAACTAATTAACGAGTTTTATTTAAAATTAGCGAGATGTAATAGTTAACTTAATTATAAGCTAATGACTCAAAAAATGTAAACTAACAATTTAGACAAAATCAAATTAGTAAAGTACTAAGTAACACCAAAATCTTTTTGGGACGATTTTTGAATTTTTGATAAAATAAACTAATTATATAAAAATATATACCGCCTCAACACTATAAAAATTGATGAAAGTTTCTTTTAAAATAACGTGGAAAACATTTGAATCTTATGAAGTCAATTGTTTCAACTCGTTTAGAATTCAAGAAACTCGTGAATTAATTTCTATCGGGGAGGATCAAAATTGAGTGTCAACAGAATGGTGTCTAACACGTATTAGAGTTATTTCATAGTCGAAATGTCCGTGCACGACTCCCCAATGGACCAACCAAGGGCCCTTGAGGAGGACCCTTGAGGAGGACCCTTGAGGAGGACCCTTGCATTTTGGGGTCAAAGATTGCCTGGGAAGTGTGTGGGAGGAGGGGAAACAACAAGGCGTAGCTTGATCGATGAGGCTTTGATGGAATCCATAAACCAACACTCATGCAAATTCTTGAAGGTCCTGTTTTGAACAGTCTTTGAACTTACCTATGGATTTGCATTACGGAAGGAGGGATTGGCTGTCGATTGACCCACGATCCGCCGATCGTGGTGTCATTTGTGAGGGCATGTTTTCACTGCACGTCTTCACTTAAGTTAAATAGTTAATTGGATTGGTTAGAAAGATAATTAGGGGTTAGGGGACGTCTAATTAAGTGAGTTAACCCGCTATATAAAGTCCTAACCTAATTAAGACTAACTCAAATTCTCATAACTCTTAAATCCAAAACTCTCTTCCTTCTCTCTTCTTTTTCTCTTCTTTCTTTCTCTAGTGAAAACTCCATTGAAGAACAAGCTAGGGGAGGGTTTAAGGGCTGAAAAGAGTCAAGTTTCACCACCAATCTTCATCAATTAGTAAGGTATGCATATATTTCACCTTTGAGACCTGTTTCCTCAAAGAATTCCATCAATCTGATTTTAAAAGTTAGGTTTTCAAGTGGGTTTTTTCCAATCTCAAATTTTTTTTGTTATGAATTGATTTTTTTAAGATTTATTTTTTATATTGTGAATATATAAACATTTTTTTAACCCAATTATGTTATATCTTGATGAATTGATCTAATTTGTAGAAGATAACTTTTACCCATTAACCCTAGGTTGTGATATTGATATGAATTGTATTGTATTGATTCAATTGAATTGATTATTAGATGAATTAACATTAGATAATGTTGTTGTATCAATTATGACTAATTAGGATGAATTATAGTCCTATCATTCTATTTATTGAGAAGTTGATCTAGGTTATGAAACATGTTGTGAATTGACCTAAGTATCTTATCTTAAGCTATGAACTAGTAATAATTTGTGATACAGTGATTCAATTGACTTTGTTATCATGTTGGTTATTGATCATGTAACAAACCTAAAACTGAATAGGATCAAGACTTAGGGTGTCAAGTATGCTTGCGACTAAACCAAGGTTCACACAGATTGATACGCGTAGAACCAGACCTCAGAACCCTTGCCACAACCAAGTCCACTAACTTAGGTCAACTAACTTGGGCAGTTAGTTGATCTTGGAAAGGTTGGAACCAACCAAGTAAGGCTCGCGAAAAGGAAGATTTAATCGAAGGAGTTTTACCGTACTTAAAAGAGGAAATTTTAAGTTTTAAGTGTCCCATGGGTAAAATGGTCTTTTCCAGGCCAAGGGTAATATTGTAATTACCATGAGGAAATAATAAATTAGTTAATTAATTAAATTTAAAGATCAATTCGGATCGGGGTGACTAGAAGTGAACCATTTCGCAAAGGGGGTGCCACTCGGGTTCGAGACCCACTGGGAGCAATGAATTGATGATTTCATCATCAATTAAAATCTATTAATTAAGGGTAAAATGGTCCTTTAATGTATTAATTACAATAAATCAGACATTGTATTAATTTAATTAAATTCTATTTTGACTAAGTCTTGAATTTTGTCTCCTAATGCTAATAACTCTCTCCCTCACGTTTCTCAACTTTCTTCCACGTCTCTCAACTCTCATTTTCTCACTCTCTAACTAACAATAGATCTCAAGAATAGTTTAATAACAATTGTTCTTCACACTTGAAAAACACACGAAAAGCTTTAAGAAAATCAAGGTAATCAAAAACGTCAAGCCAAAGGGAGGTTGTTCGTCGAGTGGCGTGTGCGTTGAGGAGAATTTAGGCGTGGTTTGAGGAGTTTCTGGGCAGCAGCTGCAAACATGAACACTAGTGAACTATGAATGAAGCCCATGGCTTGTATGTATAGACACATAAGTCTAATTTACGTTCAAAAATAAGTAAACCTAAGATGTATGTAATGAAATAATGAACCGTAGGAGGGTAAGCATGAGTGTAAGATACACTAAGTGGCCAAGTGCATTGGAATATGATGAGATGATCAATGAAATGATGAAATGAACATTCATGTTATAAGAGATGAGTAACTATGAAAAGCAAAGGTGCTAATAATGAAGATTGTGGTGACAACTTGATATGAGGCTAATGTATATGATGAGAGCAATCTCAAATGAGCCTAAGTAAATGTTACCAACACGTACTCACCAATGAGAGTGTAAGATAATGAAGAGACCAGACTCTATGAAAACTCTAATGTAAGTATTGAGCTTAACACACTTAATACTAATGATGAGATAAGAAATTATCTAATGAGCTATGTTGTCCTCATACTAGAAGCCAACTTCCATAACGTAAGAGTTGAATGTAATGGACCTTTATACTGAGCACCATAGGCTAGCTATGAGCGGTGATGCCTTCTTTTGGGAAGGGCGAAGGTTCACGTAACTCTCATGAGATGAGACTGTCCGGCTTGCCGTGTATGGATCTCCATACATCTCCTAGTCTTTGAACATATACTGCCAATATAAGGATCTGGCGGGTAATTCCTATGTACGCTAGCATGTTTTGGGTCAGTTGTGTCGGTGATACCACCTCTTTTCGGTGTGGGGGAGACACTGTATTTCATGATGCTCACATGATCTATGACGGTTAAAGTTAAAGTTCCCAATGAATGAATGAGGCCAGCCTCAAACGAAGCACATAATGAAATGAATGATACCAAAGGTGTTAGGGTAGGATAATCAACAGGTGAGCTAGACCGAGGTAATGACATTAGGTTATTCCTGATCATTGCATAACAAACCTGATTAAAGTATTAAACTATACCCTAGGTATAGCTGGTGTTCACACTGGCCTATGAATGAAATGAAATAAAGTATGTATGAATGAATGAAGCAGACTCTGTGTTTTCTAATGAAGACTCCCTAGTTGAGGTCCCATGTGTTGAGCCCTCACTTTGGAAAGTCTTATTGTCAAGTCCATGATTCCAAGGTCTAAAGGCATATGAATGAATGATATTAAATAAGCTATGTGTTATATGTTATGTGCTATGATATGTGCTATATGAAGATGTTATGTGTTATGTGCAATACAATATTTATAATAATGCATGTTACTCTCATGGAATGACATTCCTAACTCAATTTGGAAAGTTCACTAACTTTCCTAATCTCAATTTGACAAGTCTACTGACTCGACTTCCAAAAATCATGTCATTAGGAAAGAGTTGTTCTTTCTCATGCATGTCCTTGGCGTGTGCTTGCATATACCTATACTTAGTACAGGTGTGTACTAACCGTATACAACTATACTATTTTAGGTGCAGGACCAGGAAGGTGATAGAGCTATAGGTTCATTGTTGCAGCTATCCGGACGTCAGCATTCATCCGGAGTTTGGTAGGTCCTAATGCATTCTAGGATACTACTGTTTTAAATCCTAGCTTAGTTTTAGAGTTGAGCTAGTGGAGCATGTTCGACTAGCGTTTCTTTCCTGTTTTGGTTCACACTTTGTATTGGTGCCATTTTGGCCATTATAAAATTAATAATTAATAAACTATTTCTTTCAGTTGCTTATCTCTTCATTGTTATATGGTTGATGATGAATGATTATGAAATGTTAAGAATATTTAGCAAGTATGTTAAAGATCAAAAAGTTTCAAATTTTTCGCTAAAATTAATCTAGGTGAGGTATGAATAACACAAGTAGGCTTGTTTGCGACCTCTGAGAGGTTAACGATGCCGGTCTATTCTGGGGTCTAGATTCCAGTCGTGACAGATGAGTGATGATATTATACCCTAATTGGGTTGAGTAAGGGTTGATTGTAAGACCTTGATGATGGATTATAAGGGAGACCTGGTAAGTCCTGTGATCCCTATTCTTTACTTCAATTATGGTTAAATTGTGATTAAGTCATGATGTTGTATTGGAGTATCCCTTGTATTAGGAGTGATAGGGTTTGTGTGATGTTGAATTTATGTCTTGATTATGGTTTGTGAGGTGTTGGCTAAGATGTAAACATTATAAGGATGGTGCATTATTTACCAATGTGCCTTATTATAAATTGATATGTAAATGTGCTAACTTCACTTATATGAATTGTAATGCAAGGATTATATTCATGAAATTCTTATTGAGCTATGATGATGATGATGATCATTATATAAGGATTATATCCTATGACCTAAAATAAGTTATAATGATTAATGATGACATTAAAGACATTTCAAAAAGGGACTTAGATTAGCACCGAGTGAACTTGACAATGGGAGGTGCTGACTTTCCATAGAGGGAGATTAACCCTATAATTCAACATGATGTTTTGACTCCCCTATGATGGATAATCATCCACTGGATTCCCATGATATGAGGCCCCAATTTCCATGTGGTATGTAGAGGGATTATACATATTTCTTAGTTCTTGACTATGTTGCCCCCATAGGAAGACTAGCTAATGGATCCAGCTAGAAAGTTATGTTTATGTTTGGTTTTA